AAAAAAAAAAAAAAAAAAAAAAAAAAAAAAAAAAAAAAAAAAAAAAAAAAAAGTGAAAAAAACAAAAAATTGTTGTCAAGTTTCATTCAGAAATTTATCATTTAATATGTTTAAAGTTTAATCCATAATAGCAATATATGTTAAAACAGATAAAAATCTGGATGCTAAAGTGAGTATTTGCATGTAGCTAATGTATAATTAAACATTAATTACGAATACATGAATAATATACACACATATATTTAAATAATAGTATCTTGAATATTGCACATTATGATCCATTTCAAGCTTCAGCTTATATTTAAATTTTATTTAGATTTAGAATTTTTTGCATTATAGATTGAAATAAAATATTATAATTATTGAATCATTACATTATAATGAAACTAAACATGGTTTCATTATTCTAAGTGTTATTCTAACTAATTAAAGAGGAATTAAAAATACAAGGGATACTTTTTTTGTCATTTCTTCTAACATGTACATAAAAATATAATAAAGTAATTATTTATTAAAGCATACAAACATGTTCATTTTAACATCTATCATGATATATAATTTTTTTAATACATTTTTATATTCAATTTTATAATTTGTTAACTGATTTTATGCTTGGAATTGTAAATAAAAATAAAAATCTATTTCTGAATTCATTATTAATAATAAATAAAATTCATATCATTTTATTGCATTTTATATTATAATTGTGTCCAAAATTGCATCTAAATAAACAAAAATGTTAATATAAAATACTATATAATTATTTTATTATGTATTTTATATAATTAATATTATATTAATATTAATAACTAATTTCATACATAAGCAAATGCACAGTATTGATTTTTATAAATCACAAACTCACAATGCAAGATAAACAGCTGTGCATGAAATAGAAACAATTTTTTTTTCAATATCTAATGCTAGGCACAGATAAATATATATATAATTAAAGCCAACAGTGATAAATTTTGTTTATAACTTTAAAATTGATATAATTATAAATTATTTTTTTATATGTAAAACATAATAAATATTTATTATCTCGTTAAATATTTAAAGTTGAAAAATAGAAATTAATATTAAAATTAAATATAAAATAGCCGATCGAAGAAAAATTTGATACATTGTAATTTACATAAAATAAATGTTTCAGCACAAGATATTATTCATGAAAAAATTTAATACTGAAAATATTTTTGGTCCCTATTTGAAATACTTAAAATTTTTGAAAAAAAAATTTCTGTCATACATATTTGTCATATAAAAAAATTTGACAAATAATTTAAACGTTTCAATACATACTTTATATATATTAATTTTCAAAATATGTATAGTCAATTGAATAAGTCAAATTGAGTTTAAATTTGATATTTTTTGCCAATTCTATTTACATTAGAATCATCAAAATATCAACTTTGTTTAATTTCCATATGACTTATTTTTGTTATTAATACAAATACAGATTGCAAAA